ATAACTACAGCCATAGATCGAGTTGTAACTCTCCCTCACGTTGTCAGTTTTTCATTTGAACAGGAGACGAATATCTCTCAGTTGATGAATAAAACTGCAGCATATCCCTCTGTTGTCCTTCACTTTTCAGTTTCATTAGGGGTATGCATGCGTTTCTTGTAGATGTGGGGCTGGTGACTTTCTCCCCAGATGCTGAGGTGCCTGGATCCCTGGCGCAGGCCATTACTGAGCTGCAGTTGGAGTAGACTGTGCCTTCTGAAGCAGCATCTGTTTACCATGAAGTTGCAGTCTCCAGAATTCCAGTCACTTTTCACAGAAGGATTGAAGAGTCTGACAGGTGAGAGATGAGGATGCCTTATCTTGCTTTGGAAGCCTGTAGAGATGGAGAGGCAGAGGGTTACTGTTTTTCAGTTGCCATTCACAGGTTTTTGTTGTTGAGCTAATGAAAAATGACGGCAGTAAATGGCACAACCCGCTTGTGTGTTATCCCAGGTACTTTACCGCATCACAGATTCGGGCCTTCTAACTTAATGAGTATGTACATTTTCTCTTGTTTCATGGATGATGGAACAGAGGCTTAGGAATGTGAAATAATTCACCAACATTTTTAGCACTGGGGAGCTGGGTTTATGAACTTGTCCAGTCTGTTTTGAGAACCCAGCTTGTAACCACTAAGCTGTATTTCCTCCCCAGTGTTAAGTGCTTTCTTGGGGTTCTGAAGGCAGAAGGGAATGGGAGTCGCCTCCATTTGTGCATGGGCAAAGGTTGCCTGGAAGGAACGCAGGGGTGACTTTAGCCAAGTGCGAGATGGCAGGAGCTTCATCGTACTTGCCGCAGCTTGCACCAGGTGCTGGTCCTCAGTATCAGCTCCTGCCGTTGCAGTGCGTACAGCTGTGTTTCGTAGCCTGTGGGACTTGAGTCGCGCTTTCAGAACTATATCCAGGTGTGTGTATGTGGAAACATGCTCGAAACAGTTGGTTTGCAACCCTGGCTTTCTATTAGATTCACCTGGGGGGCTTTTAAAATGTACAGATGCTGGGCTCTCTAGGGAGAGATGGGCATTTATAAATTTTCATAAAAAGTCTACTTCATTAATTCTGATGCCTGGAAGATGGAGGAACCATTGCTTTAAAATGCTTTTCCTTGTGTTAGCTTATTCGTGAAGCTACTTTTCTGTTCTTGAAATTAGGTGATTTTTTTAGGTGCATGTCAGAGGTAAATGGTCCAGAGCTTGGAGATTCTTAAAGGATCTTCACGTGGTCTTAAAGTACAAGACCTAAAGCTGTGATTTTTAATTAGAGTGAAAAATGCCAGAAACTCACAGACCAGTAGAGATAAGAGTCACATATGCCATGTAAACTTTTACTGGTAACCATGTTGAAAAGGTAAAGAGAAATGAGTGAAATTAATTTTGATAGTCATTTTTAGTACATCATCTCATTTAATTCAGTATATCTACAATACCTTCCTTTTAATGTCAAATTTGTGTAAAAGTTACTGTGTGAGATTTTTCTCATTCTTGTTGGTCTTTGATATCCTTTGTTTAGCACATAGAGTATCTTAATTCAGCCTTGCCACTTTTCAAGTGCTCAGTAACCACGTGTTTGAACAGCCCAACTCTGCACGTTTAACGCTGTCTGGCTTTTCAGTCCTTATAGCTGGTTTGCCATGTGTAAAATTAGTTTCCTGTAAACAAGACTTCGGGAGGTTAGGATGGTGTATTACGCTCACACTGGGTTTTATAATATGGCAGTTTATTTCATATAATTTAGTGGTCCTTTTGCCTGAGGACAACCCTCTAATGCTGGTGGCACATGAAATTATTTGTTCATTCTACATGTGCGACTGAAGTTCCAAACATGATTTTTGCGCAAGTTACATGGTGAGCGGACAAGCTGGGGCTGCTTTGGCCACTTGGCTGTGGTCCCTGCTCGCTGCTGGAGCTGGTGCTCAGTGGTTCACTGTCACCTGCTTAGGTGTGATGTCAGAAAGTCGTTTGAACATTTGGGACCATAGGAACAGCTGCTCACTTTTGAAGTCTGGCAGTTCCTGGAAACGCTGAAGAACAGATGGTTTGTTTTCTGGTAATAAGAGTCGCGTCACGTGACGGTCTTCCTGCTAACACTTGCCGCTCCCTATCCAACCCCACGGCCTCCAACGCTCCGAAGTCAAAATTCTAAAGGGAAGAAGTTAATGAAAATGTCAGAAATAACTGAAAATTAAGATAAAATTTAAAAGCTAGGAGACAGTTAAAAAAGTTTCCTGAGACGTCATGGCCTTTTGGATTGCCAATCAGAATAATGAATAATAGCTTACTGTCAGGTGGGGTAGTTGAGGCAAATTAACACCATTTGGAACGATGAGCTTCTGCATTGCTTGAGTCTGCAGCTTAAATTTACAATTAAATTTAGTTGCATCAGGTGTTATTTTCACTTGAGTATGTATGTAGTTTACAAAAATTGTTGAAATGTGTCCATGTTTCTGTAAGATTGAAGATGTCAGTAATTGAGGAAGAAAGGGGTCTATGTAAGCTTGATAATCCCTACTGTCTTAGGTCAGTATAAAGTCATGCCTGTCCTATAGTTTTCCTGACTGCTCTCCCACACAGGCACAGACACACGCCTTCACATGCCTTTCTCAATTACATCAAAATGTTGGAATCGTGAGGTTTTTTGGATGTAGTTATCCATGTCCATAGGGCTAATCAACATGATGAATAGATTGCCTTGAGTTCTGGGTCTTTTTTTTTTTTTTTTTACTGTAATGTAGTTAATTTATTGGCTGACTTTGAATGACAATTTTATTTTCATGGAGCCAACATGAGAATTTTAAAATGATGGTTAATCTTTGTGTTCAGCCTTGACCTTTATCCTGTTAAAGTAGGTCCCAGTGAAAGTAAAACGTGCCCACTTTTTGCCTTCGAAAATAGTTTCTTATATACTGTTTGAATTTGAAGGACGGAAACCTTTTCTAAGAAGTACACTTTCCAATGAAGCCACTTTGGGTTTTTAAGCTAGGGTATCTCAGTTGTCCACTGTGAGCCAAGTTGGTATAGAGATGAGTCAGATAGGTTTTTGACCCTGTGAAGTGGGGAGGCAAAGACATAAACAGGTCACTTTCATATAGTGAATGCCCACAGAGATAGGCTGCCCTGGTAGCTTAGATGGGATTCACTCTACTCCGCCATCAGGAAAGGCTTTCTGAGCTGAGTCACAAGAGATGAACAAGGGTGAGTTAGGCCATGTTTTCCCCACTGTGTGACCTGTTAGTGGATCATAAAGTCAACATAGAGGTCATGACCAGCATTAAAAGACAGAGGAAAAGAGATAAAGAATAGAACAGATTAGATTGCATGACGTGTGTAGTAAAGGAAAGTATCTCATGAAACTCTTGTTTACCTCTAAGTCTCATGAAAATTTTGGAGTAACAGATGATTTCTGTATATTATTTTAAGGGACCATGGGCCCCATATTAAGGAATCAGTGGGGCTTGATTGGGAATGTAGAGTTAAAGGAATATGAACACTTCTGTTGGAGAGGGCTTATGGAAGTGGCATCCTTGCAGGAGAGCCTTTAGTTCAGGCAGGAAGGTGGAGGGAACGTTTGTGATCTTCTTAGCAGATCATTTAGGGAGCCTGCAGAGGTTTGTAGCTGGAAGGCTTAGGCAGACTAGGGAGAGGAGGAGGATGACAAGGAGCATGGAGATTGGATAGGGCGGAGGGTGACATTCTGGATTGTGATCAGGGATGTTGGAACTGTGGTGTGTTTAGCCAAATGCTCAGGTCAGTGCCCTCCTGCCAGAGACCACCAGGAGCACAGCTTCCAACGAGGCGAACACTGACCATGCAGGACCCTGTGGTCTCTCAGTAAAAGGGTTTTAGAAAAGACTTCTTGTAGGATTGGGGCTTGTACCATGTGGTTTGGGGGCAAGTTTAAGAAGTGGGATCTTGCTGTGGGTTACGTGGTGTCATGAAGCAGGGATTCATCTCTGACTGCGCGTCTTAATAATTCCTACCTGAAAGATGGGAACACAGTAGGAGGCTAAAACTGCCTAGTCATCAGGGAATAGTCGCCCATATTAACTGTTACAGTGCTGGTGTCTCATCTGTGTTCAGACACGGTATTAAGTTATCTTGGTCCGTCATGGTCACAGCTTGACTTTATATGATGTGGATGTTCTCTGGCGTCGGTTACCTTCACCGGAGAACACCAGGCCTGACTGTGAGTGCGAATGCAAGTCGTCGCAGCACAAGGCTTAGCTGCTTGTATGGGGCCGCTTCCTGGACATCAGTCTCACTAGGTTCCCTGTGGTGTCCCTTAGTCGTGGATAGTTGTGGTGGACTCTGCCTTGTCTGCCAAACCAGGAGTTAGCTCTGGGTCTCCTGCTCAAGGGCCTCACAGGAGTTCCAGCCCTTTGGCTTTTCTAGAGCAGGGCTATGAGTTGGTTTTTAAAATGTTTTAGTGGTTTTTTTTTAATTTATTGAAGTATAATCAGTTTACAGTGTGTCAATTTCTGGTCTACAGTACAGTGCTTTAGTCATATAGGAACATACGTTTATTTGTTTTCATATTCCTTTTCACATAAGTTATTACAAGATACTGAATTTAGTTCCCTGTGCTGTACAGTATAAACTTGTTGTTTATCTGTTTTATATATATTAGTATCTGCAAATCTCGAATTCCCAATTTATCCCTTCCCACCCCCTTCCCCCCTGGCAACCATAAGTTTATTTTCTATGTCTGTGAATCTGTTTCTGTTTTGTAAATAAGTTTAATTAGGTCTCGTTTGTTAATTTTTGCTTTTATTTCTATTGCCTGAGTAGACTGCCCTAGGAGAACATTGCTAAGATTTATGACAGAGTGTTTTGCCTATGTTTTCTTCTAGGAGATTTAATCGTGACTTGATAAACTCAAAATGGTTGAAAGACTTAAGTGTGTTTTTATGTATGGTATGAAGGAGTGTTCTAACTTCATTGATTTACATGCTGCTGTCCAGTTTTCCCACACTCCTTGCTGAAAAGACTGTCTTTTCTCCATTGTATATTCTTGCCTTCTTTGTCAAAGACTAATTGACCGTTGGTATGTGGGTTTATTTCTGGGCTCTCTATTCTATTCCATTGATCCATATGTCTGTTTTTATGCCAATACCACGCTGTTTTATTACTGTAGCTCTGTAATACTGTCTGAAGTCTGGGAGCGTTATTCCTCCAGCTTCGTTCTTTTTCTTCAATATTGCTTTGGCAATTCTGGGTCTTTTGTGTTTCCATATAAATCTTAGGATCATTTGTTTCAGTTCTTTAAAAAAAAATGTCCTGGGTAATTTGATAGAGATCACAGTAAATCTGTAGATTGCCTAGGGCAGTATGGCCGTTTTAATAATGTTGATTCTTCCAATCCAAGAGCATGAGATATCTTTCCATTTCTTTAAGTTTTTAATTTTTTTATCAGTGTTTTGTAGTTCTCCATGTGTAAGTCTTTCACCTCCTTGGTCAGATTTATTCCTAAGTATTTTATTGTTTTGGTTGCAATTTTAAAAGGGATTGTTTCTTTACTTTCTTTTCCTATTGATTAATTGTTAGTTTAAAGAAATGCAACTGATTTTTGTACATTAATCTTGTATCCTGCTACCTTGCCGAATTCTTTTATTAGCTCTAGTTGTATTTTTGTGGTGCTTTTAGGGTTTTCTATATATAGTATCATGTTATCTGCATATAGTGACAATTTTACCTCTTCTTTTCCAATTTGGATCCCTTTTATTTCTTTTTCTTGCTTGATTGCTGTGGCTAGGACTTCCAAGACTGTGTTGAATAGAAGTGATGAGAGTGGGCAACCTTGTCTTGTTCCAGATTTTAGTGGGAAGTTTTTCAGTTTTTCACCGTTGAGTATTATGCTAGCTGTAGGTTTTTCATAAGTAGCTTTTATTATGTTGATGTATGTTCCCTCTATACCCACTTTGGTGAGAGTTTTTATTGTAAATAGGTGTTGAATTTTATCAAATGCTTTTTCTACATCTATTGAGATGATCATGTGGTTTTTGTCCTCTCTGTTGTAGATATGGTGTATCACGTTGATTGATTTGCATGTGTTGAACTATCCTTGTGTCCCTAGGATAAATCCACCTTGATCATGGTGTATGATCTTTTTTATGTACTGTTGGATGCAGTTTGCTAATAATTTGTTGAGGATTTTTGCATCTATGTTCATCAGTGATACTGGCCCATAATTTTCTTTTTTGGTAATGTCTTTGCCTGGGTTTTGGTATCAGGGTGATGGTGGCTTCATAGAATGAGTTTGGGAGTATTCCCTCCTTTTCAGTCTTTTGGAGGAGTTTGAGAAGGACCAGTATGAGTTCTTTGTTTGGTAGAATTCCCCAGTGAAGCCATCTAGTCGTGGACTTTTGTTTTCAGGGAGGTTTTCTGCTGTAAATTCTATTTCATTTCTAGTGATCACTCTGTTCAAGCGGTCAATTTCTTCTTGATTCAGTCTTAGTGGACTGTATGTTTCCAGAAATTTGTCCATTTCTTCTAGGTTATCCAGTTTGTTTCCATATAGTTCATAGTTTTCTCTTATGATATTTTGTATTTCTGTGATATTGATTATAATTTCTCCATTTTCCTTTCGTATTTTGTTTATTTGTGTTCTCTCTCTTTTCTTCTTGGTGAGCCTGGCCAGAGGTTTGTCAATTTTATTTACTGTTTCAAAAAACCAGCTCTTGGTTTGATCGAGTTTTTTCTGTTTTTTTTAATCTCTATGTTAATTTATTTCCTCCTTGATCTTTATTATTTCCTTCCTTCTGCTGACTTTTGGTTTTGTTTGCTCTTCTTTTTCTAATTCTTTTAGATGGTAGGTTAGATTGTTTATTTGAGATTGTTCTTATTTTTTGAGGAAGGCCTGTATCGCCATGAGCTTCCCTCTTAGGACGGCTTTTGCTGCATCCCATAGAGTTTGTGTGTTTGTATTTTCATTGTCATTTGTCTCAGTGTTTTAAAATTTCTTCTTTGATTTCATCATTGACCCACTGGTTTTTTAGTAGCATGTTGTTTAATCTCCATGCTGTCAGTTTTTTCTCCTTTGGTTTTCTGTGGTTGATTTCTAGTTTCATGGCATTGTGGTCAGAAAAAAGATGCTTGAAATAATTTCTATCCTGTTAAATTTGTTGAGCCTTCTTTTGTGTCTGAGTATGTGGTCTATCCTAGAGAATATTCCATGCACACTTGAGAAGAATGTATATTCTGTGTTTTGGGAATGTAATGTCTTAAAAATATCAACCAAGTCCAACTGTTCTATTGTGTCATTTAATATCTCCATTGCCTTCCTGATTTTCTGTCTGGAAGACCTGTCCAGTGATGTTAGTGGGGTGTTAAAATCTCCTACTATTAATGTATTCCCATCAATTTCTCCCTTTATGTCTGTTAGTATTTGTTTTATATATTTAGGTGTTCCTATATTGGGTTCATACATGTTAACAAGTGTAGTATCGTCATCATGTGTTGCTCCTTTGATCATTATATAGTGTCCTCCTTTATCTCTCTTTATGGCCTTTGTTTTAAAGTCTATTTTGTCTGACATGGGTATTGCTACTCTTACTTTCTTGTCATTTTCATTTGCATGAAATACCTTTTTCCATCCTCTCACTTTCAATCTATGTGGGTCCTTCACTCTAAAGTTGGTCTCTTGTAGGCTTTTGATTTGTTATCCAATCTGCTACTCTTATCTGTGTGTTCTGATTAGAGCGTTTAGTCCATTGGCATTTACAGTAATTATTGATAGTTGTGTGTTTATTGCCATTTTGAATTTTGTTTTCCAGTTTTGGTATTTCTTCTTTGGCCCTTCTTTTCCTTTTTGTTTTTCTTCTTGTGGTTTGGTAGTTTTCTTTTGTATTACCTTGGTTTCTTTTTATTTTTTGTGACTCTTGTTTATCTTGCCACTCCCTTTTGGCTAGCAGTGCTTCTGTAGAGAAATCAGCTGGAAGCCTTATGGGGGTTCCCTTATAACTAACTCTTTTTGACTTGCTGCCTTTAGAATCATTTATTTACCTTTAACTTTGGCCATCTTAATTATAATATGTCTTGGTGTAGGTCTGTTTGGGTTCTTGTTTGGGACCCTCTGTGCCTCCTGTACTTGGATATCTGTTTCCTTCTTTAGGTCTAACCTCCCATTTCTAAAGTATACACATAATCCTGGAGAAAGAAAACATAATTATTTGCTTTACTTTTTGGTAATAGTTCAGAGTTACGTTGATGACATTGAAGCATTGTGGGATTCCATATGGTCTTCTGAATGAACCTCGGAAAAGTTCTGCAAGTTCCCTGCTTCTCACGGACGTTAGGGGGCGCTCTGTTGCAGACAGGTCACTGCACTGCTGTGGCCACGTTCCCCTGATGGCGAGGGGCTCAGCGCGGTAACCTCTGTTGTCTCTTGTTAACAGACAGAAAAACCTGTACTGCTGTGATTCTTAAAAGAAACACACTGAAATAAAAAATGTTCTTTTTCATCTCAGAATTATTTGTTAAAGAAAAGCATGAATTGAGAATAGCAGGAGGAGCAGTAAGGGATTTATTAAGTGGAGTAAAGCCTCAGGATGTGGATTTCGCTACCACCGCTACCCCTGCTCAGATGAAGGAGCTGTTCCAGGCGGCCGGTGTTCGCATGATCAACAACAAAGGAGAAAAACATGGGACGATCACCGCCAGGGTGAGTCACACGTGCGACAGCAACTGCCTTGCCTTTTTGGGTAATTTTTAAAATTTAGATAAATTTCTGGTTTTTGAAAAGCAAATAGCAAAAAGCCTAATAAAAAAAAGTCAGTCTTCTCTACTCCTCTGTTAAATCCTGGGTCCTCCTTTGTTGCAGCCCCTTCCACCCAGTGTTACTTACCTTTCCCTCCACATTTCTGAAAAAGACCTTTCTGTGCTTCAGTGTTTTGTTTTTTAAGTGACGTACAATCAGTTACAACATGTCAGTTGCTGGTGTACAGCACAGTGTCCCAGCCATGCATATACAAACCGATGTTCGTTTTCATATTCTTTTTCATTAAAGTTTTTTGGTTTTTAATTTGCCAGTCTTCAGATGTGATTTATCGGCGTCCTACAGGGAGGGTGGTTTAGGCTTCTCCCCCACCCCCCATCAAGCTCGTGTGCTGAGCCTTCCCTTGTCTTCTCCACATATTCACGCCACACTTGTCAGTTCAGTGAGTCCATCCTGTCGTGTGTGCTGACGGCATCCCGTGCGTCCCCGGCTTTGGCTTTTCCCTGCGGTTAGTAGCGTGTCCCTTTTACACAGCTCTCTGCGCGCCGCTCAGTTACCTCGGGCCCTGGGTCACAGGTCTGCCCCCTGCCCCCGGCCTTCACTACGTCATGTGTCACTTCCTGTTTTGGAGCCATGTCTCCTGTGCAGTCTCTTCTCCCATCCCCACGATCTGGGCCGGCTCCCTGCTCTCATCCTAGGAACTTCCTTGGCCGCTGCCTCCTCAGACCTCCCGGGTCCTGATACCACATGGTATTCTGTCTGTGTCTGTGTCATCATTTTAAGTCTGAAGCCTGGGAGAGCTTTTCATGTGGGAAAATAATTTTACCTTCTCACTGACCTGATGGTTTGGTTGGCTCTGGAACTCAAGGCTGGGAAGAACTCTCAGGCAGAAATGTAAAGGCTGTGTTTTTCTGCCTTCCAGAGAGACCACCGAGAAGTCTGAGCTCATTCAGGTTCCATCTCTGTTTGGGACCTGATTTCTTTCCCCGCTTCGGGAGGCCTCTCTCGTCTTTTCACCTCTGGTAATTTTAATTTCAGGGTGATGTGCCCTGGCTTGGACGAGTGTTCTTGTTCATTGTGTGGGGCAGTGGTGGGCCCGCTCGTATTCCTCTCATGACTCCATCCCTTATTCAGTGTCTTCTCCTTTGGAAACGCCTGTGATGTGGGATGTTGGACCACGGGGACAGATCTCCTAGCTTTTCTTTTGTCTACCAGTTTATATTCTCTTTTATTTCTCTGAGAGTGCCTTGACTTGGTCATCCAACTTTTCTATTGTAGTCGCAACTTTTGCTGTCTATGAAATTTTCAAGAGATCTTTCTTAGAATATTTCTTTTGAAAGCTTCCTGTTGTTGTTTCAAATGCAGTGTCTTCCCTTATTTCCTGTAGGGTAGCAATTAGTTGTTTGACAGTGTCTTCGTTCCTTCTGAGCTTTTTCTGTCTGTTGGCTTTCCTTAAATGTGGGTGTTTTTGGCTCTTTATGTTTGAGTGGTTTTCTGGTGTCTGCAAAATGACTTGAGAGCTTTCCTGTCATTTGCTGGGAAGTGTCCCCCTGTTAGTTGTGGGACCACCAGTGTCAGTATCAGTAGGGCTTTGATGAGGGGGAGTCAGAGGAATCCTCCAGTGTTACCCAGGTTAGAATAAGCCTCGTTATTGGCATTTTGAAAACCAAGTAGGGAAAAGGGTGTGAGGTTGTGTTGGTTTTCCTTCACTGTGTTTCTTCCTCTGTGAATCCTTTGCTCAATGGTATATATTCTGTAAAGTGACATTCAGCTCTTTGCAAACTGGAGCTATTAAAATATCTCAAACAGTAGCCTGATTTGAAATGAAAGAACCAGAATACACTCTTTTAAGGGCTCTTCCCTTTGCCACGTCATTTGTCAGAGTTGCCATTTCTGTATGTCAGACTCATCTTTTTAAAATTAAGACAGACTTTCAGTTTAAAAAAATCGTTCGGTTCTACCTTTGAACATTGTGAATGTCTTGCTTTTTCACGGTGCAAGAGCACTAGTTGCTGCTGAAAAGAACCAAGATACACCTGTCAGGACACGTGTATTTGTTTCAGTCCTTCCGGTGATACTAAAAACTAATTTTGAAAAAACTTATGTTTAATTACAGCTTCATGAAGAGAATTTTGAAATTACCACATTACGGATAGATGTTACCACCGATGGAAGACATGCCGAGGTCGAGTTCACAACCGACTGGCAGAAGGATGCTGAACGCAGAGATCTCACCATAAATTCTATGTTTTTAGGTAATGTATGCAGATAAGATAATGCTGTAATTCAGTCAGTCCGAATGCCTTCTTGTCAAGTGCAGCCTGCATTCGGGAAATGTTCACCTGGAGAGCTTGCACTGGTTTCTTCTAAGAGACAGTTAGCTTATTGGCTCAGAGGTGACTGGAGCCGAGACCCCGGATCCGTCCGAACCCACCGCTCCAGCCGGAGTCAGGGCGCTGGTGCTGCCTCCCACTGTCGGGCTGATGTGGGGAGTAAAGGAGTCATCGTGAACCCGGGAGCAGTGCCTGGCGCGTGGGCACCCGCCCCCGTCCGTGTTAACTTAGCACTCGCGTCTGAAGCCCTTGGCGCTCCGGGTGGGACGCGTGCGCACGTTCCCACGCGCCGCGCGCTCCTGGCGGTGACGCCGCCGTGGCTGCTGCCGGCGGCCCCGCGCGCCTGGACTCGGCTTCGGGTTCTCGCGGGGCGCCGCACCGGAGGAGTCGCCGACCCTCAGTCAGAGCTGGCGTGTGAGGGGGACCTGTGACCCTGGCCGCTGAGCTGCCGTTCGCGAGCGCGGTGAGACTCTAACCGGGGTGGCTGTGCGTCAGGTTAGGGTCTGGCTGCACAACTGGAGCTTTTTTTTCGGAGTTAAAACTTTCGATAAGCTCTTCAGATTTAAGGCTTTGGATTAGGAAAGGGAGATAAAGCGCCCACTCTGCTTTGTGGCGCAGTAATAGAGGATGAGGTGACAGGATTCGCTTCATGGGCTGGAGAAGAGGGGAGCAGGCCGAGGTGGGGGCGCTGGCCGGGAAAGCCAAGTCACGTTCCTGGAGCGCGTGGGGTTCCAGGCACCTCAGCGGTCGCTTGATACACTTTATCTCATTTAATTCTCAGAAAACCTTCGTAAAGTGGTATTAAACTCATCTGATAGATGAACAAACAGACTCAGAAGTGTTAAGTGATTGAGCTCCAGTCACAGAGAGCCTTGATCCGAGCCTGTTCCCAGAGCTTAGGTGGTTTATGACCAGAGGGAGCCCCGTTGGTGGCATGTTTTCTCTCCATTATGGGGTCAAACTCCGGGTGTTAATTTCTTCTTCCATCATTTTTACTTGGAGTCAAGTGCTCCAGCTAATGCAGGGTACAAAAACTCACATCTATCTTCTCATAAGCAGACTCAAAGAGAGAAACTAGTATTCATTTTTAAGATGCTATTTTATAAAAATAAAAGCTGTTCTTATTGATACTA